ATGTTATATTATGGAATCTTAACTAATAGATGTATTGTACATGAACAAATATATCACATGCATGTATATATACCAGAGAAGTATAATTATGTATATAAATAATATCACATGCATGTATATATACCAGAGAAGTATAATTATAAATAATATCACATGCATGTATATATACCAGAGAAGTATAATTATGTATATAAATATTTATCGGCGCCAACACAATTACAACTAGTAAACTAATTGTTCAGAGAACAATGAGACGTCTTTCCACCTTTTTAAGTGTTTCCGTGTCCTTTGGCTTGGAAAAAAAAAATGATTTCCAAATAAAATGGGCCCCCAGCCGGATTCGAACTCGGGAACTTCAGGTTGACAGGCGAAATAAAAGCACATGGATTTAAACAAAAATAGACACACGTGCGTTTTTAAATAGTACAGAAACACGTGTATTTATTTGTTTGTGATGGAACATAGAGAGGAATAATGAATAGTTCTGAGAAACATGATTGGTGTATAATGGAAATGCCGAATTCCTATTAAAAAAATCATTTGAGTTTGTTTATACTTTGAATAGATTGAGTTAATCATACAGAGCTTATGATACATTTGAACTTCCGTGTCGGCAATGTGTTTACTATTTATGAAAATATAGGCGCGTTCGTTTTGACAGATATGGTGAACTCATAGGTAAGATTAAATAATCATCTGTATTTGGATTGTTTTAATAGTTATCAGCATAAATTAAACTTGAAACATGCATTTCATGAAGAAAACTGTGTCACTGAGAGCGTGGAAATTTATTTGAGAGGAAAATTCGCTTTAATTTTTTTTTTTTTTTTTTTTTTTTGGATTTATTCGATTGATATTAAATCTAAATCAAATTGAAATAAATCTGAGTTAGGATCAAGATCAAAGATCAAGGGTCAAGATCATTTAAACCCCCCCCCCAAAGAAAAGTTTATAAGCAATTTGGATACTTTTCCAATAACCTTGACCTTTGACCTTGACCTTATCCTCAAGGTCAAAGGTCGAAAGATCTCATGCATTGTCCACATGTCTTTACGACTTGTCGTTAAGAAGTTTTCAGTTCTTCGTAAACATGAGAAACTGTCAGTGTCAAAAACTGCTTAAAATGGTTTACCAATTCTTTCGCACTTATGGAATGAAAAGTGTACTAAATAAGTCGCAGACATTGTTGAAGGTTTCGTACCTCTACGGTTTACGGTTTCAGAGGAGTAGCGATAACAAGGGTTTACACTGAAAGAGGCACTAACTTTTAGGGGGTTCAATGTTAGGGGAAAAGACTGAAATCTTTAAAATGGTTTTAAAAGTACATATTAAAGATGCAAAGATGTTAAGAATTTGGTGAAGAACAAAAGAGTTATTAAAAGAGCTTAATTTTTCATACTTTGAATGACCTTGACCTTTGACCTTGACCTAAATTTCAAGGTCAAGGGTCAATGAACCTTTTGCAGTTGGTCCCATGTCTCTATGACTTGTGGTTTAAGAAAACATCTTGACATTCATAAACATCACAAACATTCAGGGGCAATAACTCATAAAAGGAGTTTACGAATTCTTTCGAAAAGACAGATTGAAGCATCTACTAAATTAGTCATAGACATTAATAGAGGTTTTGTGACTCTACGTCTTATGGTTTTGGAGAAGTAGCGATAACAAACATTTATTGCGAAAGGGGTCATAACTCCTTGAGACGTCAAAGTTCTTAGACGCAGGGTCAACTGCGAAAATCATTTACGAAGTACATCTTTTGGGTCTACAAATCTTTTCGATAAATCTTGAAACTCAAAAACATGCGGCGGAAAAATAATAAACAAGAGGCCCACGGGCCTTATAGGTCACCTGAGTATCATGTAACAACTTTCCAGCGATTGTATTTGGTTCGTGTTTTAAGCCAAAAGCCATGAAATTCACAAATTTTGAAAGAGGCACCATTGCTTATCAAAGGGCAGATTTCAAAGCATTAATTTATTTTTAGTCAAAGTACCCCCCTGGTACCCCTGACCCAACAGCCTTGAAATTATCTATTTTGAAAGAGGCCCCTTTCTTCATTATAAAGCCAGCATTAGTTTTTAGCCGGGCTTATTTCTCAAAGAGCAATTACTGGCTTATGTGATCCTGTTCAAGGCAGGATGTTGACCCCATAGTCGCCATTTTAAAGTTACGTGCAAAAATATAGTTCTTACTCTCAACTGCTTTTGAGATAATACAAACGCTAAATAAAGCAACAAAAATAAAACGAAGTTTTATCTATATAAAATAAACATTAGTAGTAATGACTTTGAAAACTTCATAAGTCAAAGAACATAGTTCATTAGCGTAAGGATTTTTGATAATCAGTGTTACCGTAGTTCTCTACACATACGAGGTAAAGGAGGAGAGGGAAACAGACTGGTCTGTTTGTTTACATTCAGCTGCGGTACCAGATTAATTCTGATTCTGACAAAATCGGACCGTGGTATTAGGATTGCAAAACTTACTGTCAGTGTCTTATCATTTATATTGATAGTTTTAAAATATTTTTTTCATCAGAATATAAAAGTGATTCATGTAAGAAATCCATTCTACTCTGTAAATGAGCCCGGCTCTCTGTACTTCTGAGTACTTTGATTATGTTTAGGTTTAGTTATGAACATGAGAATAAAAATGTTCCGAAGGAGAAGGAAATAAAATATTTTTTTTTTTTGATAAATCAATTATTAACATTTCTACATTCTTTTTTATGCTTTCCTAATAGGCTCCTTACCACTGGACACATAATGCTTACAAATAGGAAAGTAGAACATTTAATTGCTTATTTCATCATCTGCCAGTTTGGGCCAGTTATATAAATTTTGTGATGTTGATCAAAGTATATTTTAAAAAATCAATTCTTTAAAAGTCTTTCAATATATCTTCATTTTTTAATATGTGTTAGGTGAATGTGTAGACATTGTTCTAAAATTTACTTGATGCCTAAAATTATAATTCCTATCATAAAACAGACAGGGAGTATTGGGAAGTAGAGTCAACATTTTTTCAATTAAGTGTAAAATAATTTTTCTGGCTGATACAAATGATACTACATGCCTGTATATATTTGTATATTCTTGCCTTTTAATAGTTGATTTTTTTTTAAATTTCTTCAGGTTATTATTTCTTCCTCAAATGGACTTCACTTCTCCCATAGTTTTATTCATTATATCTGATGCATAAGCAACCCTTTTCTGAAGAATGATGCTTAGACTGTAAGCTATAACAGAGACCTAAACAATGTCCCTGGCAATATGCAATAGCTACCACGGGCAGTTTAAAACATGGGGGAGGGAAAAAAAAAATTACAGTTACTTTTGAAACGAATACATAATTATCTCACCAGCATGTCATTGTGCAACAAAGTCGTCAGCATTTTATTTGTCCTTTGAACGGGGGAAACGTTTTGAATGGTACTCTTATCGATGAATTTTACACTAAACCAAGCTATCTAGATCTAGCTTTATTTACCCGCTGTTTCAGAAAACCGGAAGTGCGAGTTCGTAAATTTGATATCTCGATCCCGACTCAAATTTGACATCGGAAAGAAAAATTTTTTTATTTTTTTCTCTGAAAATTCAAAATCTTGAGCGGAGGGTTTGTAAAACTGAATATAGAATAAATCCTGGCCTTCAATATGTAATTAGATCATTAGCATATTAACCAGGAGCAAAGGATAAGATGTTCAAAGAATTCATGCATTTCACTATATAATCATTAGAGCCCCACCCTAAAACAAGAACCCCTGACCCTGGGGCCATAAAATTCACAATTTTGGTAGAGGCACTCTTGCTCATCATAACTATGTACTTAGTTAGTTTATTTAATACCCAGGAGCAGAGAAGAAGATTTTCAAAGATTTCATGTATTTTCACTATATAACCAATAGAGCCCCGCCCTAACACCAGAACACCTGACCCTGGGTTCATAAAATTCACAATTTTGGTAGAGGCACTCTTGCTCATCATAACTATGTACTTAGTTGGTTTATTTAATACCCAGGAGCAGAGAAGAAGATTTTCAAAGAAATAATGCATTTTCACTACCTACTTATTTAGCCCCACCCTAGCACTAGAACCCCTGACCCCAGGGCCATGAATTTCACAATTTTGGTAGAGGACTCATTGCTGATTACAATCATCCACACAGTTTGACTGCTTGATGTCCAGGAGTAAAGAAGAAGATTTTTGAAGATTGCATTAATTTTAGTGGTTTTGGCCCCACCCCTCAGGCCCCAGGGGGGTAGGGATCATGAAATTCACAATTTTTGTTCCCCTTCACCCATAGATGCTTTGTGCCAAATTTGGTTGAAATTGGTTCAGTGGTTGCAGAGAAGAAGCTGAAAATGTTCAAATGTTAACGCACGACGCACGACGCACGACGAACGACGACAGACGAAAACGGATAGCAATAGGTCACCTGAGTTTACTCAGGTGACCTAAAAAAAGAAAAAAGAATAATAAACAGAAGAATATCAATAGGTCTTTCCACAGAAAGGTGGAAAGACCTAATAATTGTTAAAGGTGCAACATACTGGTATAAGAATCAGCAATTATTCATAAAATTTTATACAATACACTGTTTCTAGATTTTGAGGCTATACATAAATCATACAATAATATAATTTACACAATACACAATAATTATGTATAACAATGATTTCTAAATATATATTTCTTAATAAATAAGTGTTATTTTCAGTATTTCTGGACATGACTATCAAAGGTATATGAGACAAATTTGATACTTTTCCTTTCAAGAAAAAAATACATCAACTTCCTTTCAAAAGTTATCTTATAATTATTGTATTTTTGGTAGCTGAATTAAAAATAAAAACCATCTTAAATCTCTCCTGTGTTACAAATAATTTACAAAATCTTTCATTAGGGAGTGTTTATAGGCAAATCTCTTGATCCCCTTTTCTGTGGCAAGGTTATGTGCACTAAGTCTCAAGCTGTTAATGATTGGTCACTCTGTTCTTTTTTTCTTGGGGGGGGGGGGTATATCAGTGTAATCTACAGCATCTGAAATCATCAAAAACAACAGTAACTTTTAGTTTGGTGAATTATGAACCTTTTCTCTTTTGAATATTGATCTGATATTATTTGTTTAAATGCTTCTCAGAAATGATTTTTAATGACTTTGAGGAAAAATCTTAAGTTGCTGAAAATTGAGAAAATCTTTTTAGTTCATCACTCACTTGATGTGAGAATTTCTTGCTGAACATCTGTTCACCTGCTGAGAGTCCATTTTATTTTTTTGCCTACAATCAAAAAAAAAAAGTATTAAATGTATGTTCTAACATAGCAGTACAAATGCTGCATTACATGTTACAGTGTATTATACTTTCATGTTAAATACTAAAATCTGATTAGTTGAGATGCATCTAACAATCCTTTTTGTTACACCTTTAAGAATTTGTTCCTATACAAATCTATATGAAAAAAAAGTCCAACATTTCTAATGTTTTGCTGAGCAGGCATAAAACGATTGATGTTTAACCACTGATGAGATGTTGGACCGGTTGATGAGATGTTGGACCCCTTACATGTACATCACACAATTGGTGGAGCTTAATCTAATTTGCGTTTTTTGATGTTTAGCAGTGATGGATGTGAAGTTCAAGACAGTACAAGATACATGTACATCAAAATAAATATTAAAATGAAAGGTATCACAAAATATTTATTAACAGTGTTCTTGAGCAAATACATTTTGTCGATCCTCAGGCAGACAGTTTGGTTCTTGGGTCTGAGAAAAAAATGCATGTTGCCCTTGAATTCAGTCAATAATATTTGAAATTGACACCCCTTCTGTCAGTTGACAATGGTTTTCTGGGGTGTCAATTTCTACTGAAGACCTCAAAAACATGCACTATTTATATAATAGTTATATACAGTTGTGTTCATATTTCTTATAATTATGTACCTCAATAGTCCATCTGCAAGCAGATTTTGTTCAATCATCCTGCCTAAGTCTGGCCTTTAGTCTTTTTTCAACTACATGTAGTGTACTCCTTGGTAAATTAAGTACTGTAAGGTTGTTTCCTCCTAAGAATTAAACATGAACAGTTCTTAGACTATTGTTTTTAAATTAACAAAAATTAATTTTAAGATTAAACAATCAATCTTATCTGTATTTCATTTATTGATTCATAAAAAAAAAATGAATGAAGTTTTTTAATATATATATTTTATTTTATATACCACATTGTATAACAGTGTATAATGTCTTATATTATAAAATTTCTACTATAAAAACATTTTAAACCTAAAAATACAGGAAAAAATACAATAATATAAATAATTTCTGAACCATTGTGTTTCATTTTGCTCCATAAATTAGACAACTGTTTGTTTCAACGTTTATATTGATATTTCCACATGCAATATCCCTATTATTTCACTTTTTTTTGTACCCCAGCGGAACACCTTACTTTTCTACCAACTTGATGATTTGTTGTGTCTTTAACAAATAAGGCTAGTTAGTATTATATAACTTGTTGTAATCATATACAAAAGATGCTATTTTTGTGAATAAATAGTATTCATAAAACTGACGAACAAGCGGAAATGATAAATTTCAATCCTCAAATGTTGAAATGTCGATCGCGGGAACAAGCATACGAAATACATCGATCTACATGTGTATAATATCCTTGCGAATTCCCATTTATCAATAAAAACTATGTAATTCAATTTCAAAATTATAAATTAAATTGCTAGACATACATAACTTACTTACATGTTAATTCTAAGGTTGACATTTGATTATTTGTTGCATTAAACTAGATTCAAATCCAAACTTTGCAGTTTTTATAAAAATGTAGGTCAAATACCAAAGTAATTTTCCTCAGTCAACAACATTGAAATATTAACATACATGTTAACTTACATTCTAACTTCTGCTAAATTAGATTCCACAGGGCACAGATGGTTAGCCGCCTTAGCAAACTTTGATCTTGAGATCCAGTATAGACCAGGCAGAAACAACTCGGATGCAGATGGACTCTCCCGACTTACTAATTCTGAAATTCAAAATTCTTCTATTTATCTTGTTTTTCCAAATTATGCCCAACATCTATTTTGACGAAGCTCTAATATCATAAAACATCATTAAGGAACTTATTCTTAGATTTGAAAAAACATGTAGGCATCTTCTTCAATTTACTAGATCTTGACCATAAATCCGTTGTTTTAAGTCCAATTCGTGAATATTTTATTCATATACAACATAGGGCTCAGGGGCTTCTAAATGTTTACCTTTGATCGGCACTCAGGGCCATTGAGCAGCAAGCAGTCTTTATAGCGCCAACGCCTGCCGTTTCACCTGCGGCTCCAGTTTTAAGCTTTTATCCGATGGACCTGGAACTTTCACTTCAAAGTTCCGAAAGCGACAATTTAAAGAAACAGTTGCTTCCTTTCTTACCGATTAAAACCACTCTCATCTCCCAATTATGAAGCAACTCTTTTTCAGGTAATAATCAATTGTATTTCATGGTATTGCTGAAAATCAATAATGAACCTAATGGTATTATTTCCCTTAATCATGAAATGTACTTGTTTTGCACTTTTGAAGTCATCACAAAAATACCCTGCTCAATGAGTACCAACTGCATTCTATTATGTTATTTTTTAAGTTTGCGATTAATTGTGTTCCCACTTAAAAGTGCTGTTTAGTGTATGTCCAACTTGACATTTAAGAGGGATGCAAAAAATTGCCTAAGGTCTTGAAGTTAGGAAGGTTTTATTTGTACACTTAATTGGCTAAATATGATTCTGTTTGCAATATTCAGCTGCTATTATTATTTTAAACTAGGTTTGGATTATAGTCTATTATATAACGTTCAATTTTAAAGCAATTTAAAAAATGCTTAGAAATTATTTAGGTGTTTATGAAATTTTTGTATGTCTTTGAATAATTTTCTAATTTTGATATCTTAAAAGATATATATCAAATTCTAGTTAATACTTTACACTTTAATAACCTCTCTGTTTTTCGATGGAAACATTTTATCAGAAATTTAAATACTTTAAATTGACTGTGTATATAAAATAAATTATCATATGAAAAAAAGAAAATGATGACAAATAAAATGTAATTGATTTAAATGTATCTTTATAACAGTGAAAATAGATTTTTTTTCAGAACGGAGATGTTAACTTCTATACCCTGAACAAAATTTACTTTGTTGTATGTTACGAATACTAGATATATGTCAAAAAGAGCAATGGAATGCACCTACGCCTTGATCTCTCCTTCGAAAATGAGATATACACAGTGAATTTAAAGTATTTAGATTTCTGATAAAATGTTTCATCGAAAAACAGAGGTTATTAAAGTGTAAAGTATTAACTTCGATTTGATATATATCTTTTAAGATATCAAAATTAGAAAATTATTCAAAGACGAAAACAATACAAAAATTTCATAAACACCTAATATTCATTTCTAAGCATTTTTTAAATTCTTTTAAAATTGAACGTTATATAATAGACTATAATCCAAAGTTATGCTAACAGAGATGATTAATAGCAGCTGAATATTGCAAACAGAATCATGCTTCACCAATTAAGTGTACAAATAAAACCTTATTAACTTCAAGACCTTTAGGCAATTTTTGCATCCCTGCTTGATGTTAAAGTGGACATACACTGACACTTTAAGTGGGAACACAATTAATCGCAACTTTAAAAAATAACATAATAGAATGCAGTTGAGTACTCGTTCATAAATCAGGCGGGTTATTTTTGTAATAACTTCAGAAAAGTGCAAAACAAGTACATTTCATGATTAAGGGAAGTGATCCATTAGGTTCATTATTGATTTTCACAATACCATGAAATACAATTGAATATTATTACCTGAAAAGAGTTGCTTCATGATTGGGAGGTCGAGAGTGGTTTTAATCGGTAAGAAAGGAAGCAACTGTTTCTTTAAATTGTCACTTCGGAACTTTGAAGTGAAAGTTCCAGGTCCATCGGATAAAAGCTTAAAAACTGGGGCCCAGTGAAACGGCAGGCGTTGGCGCTATAAAGACTGCTTGCTGCTCAATGGCCCTGAGTGCCGATCAAAGGTAAACATTTGAGGCCCTTAACCAGTGTACATGGACGTGTCTATATGAATAAAATATTCACGAATTGGACTTAAAACAACGGATTTATGGTCAAGATCTAGTAAATTGAAGATGCCTACATGTTTTTCAAATCTAAGAATAAGTTCCTTTAATGATGTTTTATAATATAAGCTTGGTCAAAATAGATGTTCCGGGCATAATTTGGAAAAACAAGATGAAAAAAAAATCTTAAACTGTCATTTTCAATGAAAAATTAAGAAAACCAGTATTGAAAGTGGGAGTTTTTTTCCAGATCAGGCATAGAAAATGTATCCAGATTGCCTACAGTTTTTCATAAAACGGTTATTTCTATGTTCTTAGTCTCTACTTAAAAAAAGTTAAAGTAAAGATAGGTATTGGGACTACTTTTCATGTTATTTCAAATTGAATTCCATGGAAATACTTTATTTTCTACAGAATTTTATTAGAGCTGTAAAGTACAGGAAAAAGAAAGTTGAAAGTGATTATGACGTCATAATGGATTATGCACTGAAAAATTATTCTCAAGACATTTACTAGATCTTGACCTTAACAATTAACTAATCTTCGATTTCTATAGACATTTTTCCTTTTATCTCAAATTATAATCATGGTCTTGTCAAATTTAAAATATCAGATACATCGTAATGTTCATGTTCATATTCTTCTTTAAAAGTAGAATCTACCATATACATCAAAGTTACATGTTGTTTCAGATCATTTTGATATCCATTATTGGGAAGGCTCATATCCTCAACAAAAATGAATAAGAGAAAAGGTCTTTAAAAATTATTTACCATCGATCTAATGCATGTATGCGGCAATCTAACATTTTCACAAAAATTATGTGCACGAGACACCGGGGGGTTATTTAGGTTTTAAGTTTTTCAGATGCTTTTAAGTAGCATTTCAAGAAGGGTTAAAATACCTGGATCATGAAAATCGTCCGGATACTGAAGCATCCGGATATCTGGCGTCCGGATATGTGAAGGTCCACTGTACATGCCTTCATCTTAATGATATATTATCTGTATAATTTCTGTTAAAAATGTTTGAGTTATGTATCGTTGAGTGCAAAAGGATAAACAGTAACACCTATTTTGTTACCACTTAATTGACTGCAAGTATGATTGATGTCTCTATATTTGCAAGTCCTTTTAATTTAACGGAATAACTATCGGAAGATATATAAGTTGCATCAAACGATCGGATAGCAAAAAAAGAGAAATTCGTTAATCTTGAATACGTGCGTTAAAATTTATAAAATATTTTTCCAGGCCTGATGTTGAAGGTCATTTAATAAGATATGAATTTTTTCTTTCCAAAAATCCGTGTGAAAAATGTTTAAATATGGTGTCATCATATTCTCTTGCTTGGGCATCTTTCGAAAGCTCTCAAGTCCTTGTCTCTTTGACGGACAATTCATAAGAAACATTTCTTTAGAAGACACCTATCCAATCGGCTAACAAGAATTCTACTCGAAAGCTATCAAAAAAAGGAATCGAGCAGAATGTGCCATGCAATGTCTTCAGCTTAAGTCATCATGTGTAGGACTTGTGTATAGCGAAATGCGCTCCCTTTGTTTATTGTTGAAATCTGATTTTAATGAAAAAGTGCAAGACGTACAGGCAATGTCATCTTCTTGGGAGTACTGGTTCAAATATGATGGTACAGGTAAGTTACTTGCACTTGTTTCAGGTTTGTTTATATGACAATGTTTGTTTGCAGAATTTACATCAAAAGAAAAGATCACATATCTATATTTATAAATTAATAAATTTTGTAAATAAACTCCGAAACGGGTGCACAAGAGTTCATAATTACCCCTCTAATACTACACTACATACAAGATGATGTCCGTAAACTATATTTAAATTTTACTGGGATAGTAAGTATCGTACATAAAATTAAAAGTGTACTTCAATTTTCTAAAACAGCCATGAAATAGCATCAACG